TCCCAGTGACTCTACTGGTCAAAGCAAGTCAAGCCAGTTCCGATTCAAGGAAGGAAGACAGACTTACCTTTTGACGAAGGAGCAGCCTGTGTTCCCAGGAGGATGGGAGGACTGCCTGGTGGCTATCTTCACAAATGTCTAGCTTCTGGCTCCAGGACCCCCCACCCTGTACCGCTGCCTGCCTCCTGCCCCTGCCCTGCTGTCTCCACCGGGTTTGTAGTGGCCGCTCCAAGTGTTGGTTCATTCAATATGTCAATCTCTGAGACTTTTGTTGCATGAGCTCTTGTATCTGCAATGTTCTCCCCTTGAGTTTTTGAGAAATGATCCTTCTTGTCATCGAGCGTCCCTAATCACCCAACCACAGCAGTGCCCTGTTGCCATCTCTTCTTGCTAATTTCTTCATGCCGCACTGCTCACTATCTGAAATCGTTGCATATATATAACTGTGTGTGTTTACATGCTTATTGTTGCACCCACTAAGAGATATTGTCTGTATCCCAGCATGTAGTTCAGTGCCCATCACAGGAGCTGTTCGATAGATTTTTTTAAATAACTAAATGATCTGAATTCTAATTCAATAAAATTATGCTTTTTGGGGGTTATGCTTCTAACTTGCAATTTCATTTTGGGTTTCTTGTGCAAAATCATTAATCACATAGAATTGCCTGTGCTCATCTTCAAATATAACTTATACATTTATTACAATTCTGAGCAAATTTTCAATAGAATTTTCCAGGGAGCTTCAGGACTGATTCAAAAGTTTACATGGAAAATGTAGGAATAACAAGAATGCCATATAAAAAAAGGTAAAGTCATTTTAAAAAAACAAGATGGATGTACACGCATGTGTAAACTATTATTGGAAATACCCTATGAAGGAGTGGGACTGGTAAATAAGATATGAAACAGTCACACAATATTATTGCGTTCATCTTTATAACTCCCCTTAAAATTTCCTTGAAAACAATCTTGGGAGTGAGAATACTGGACAACAGGATTTATATTCTTTTGCTTTTAAAACATTTCACTTTGAAATAATTTCAAACTAACAGAAAAGTTATAAGAATAAGGAGAGTAGAAAGAATACTGTACTCCGGGCCTCCCCAGTGGCACAGCGGTTGAGCGCTGGGTTGCGAAGCTCCCCGCAGCCTCTGCAGTGCCGGTTCAATCCCAGGCTGCTCCCCGGCCACCAGAGGAGGGTCCCACATGGCGCGCAGACCTCTCCTGCCGCCCGCTGCTCCCCTCAGCAGTGTACTTCGGTCCTTCTGCCTGCTCTGCTCCCTGCTCTGGCTCTGGTGAATTCTCTCACCCTCCCGCGCTTCTGACTGTAACCAGTGCTTGTATAAATAAATAGGTAAATCTTAAAAAAAAAAAATACTGTACTTCACCCTTTACTCAGATTTTCATCCATTGCTAAACATTTTATTCCTAAGTACTTGGTGTGTATGTTCTTTCCTTTTTTAAGTGTACATTTTCTAAGAATAAGATACTCTCTGAAATAACCACAGAATTTATTGTCAATAAATTTACTTGAGATACAATACTTTGTTTTTCTTTAATTTAATTAAATTATATATATATATGTGTGTGTGTGTGTGTATATATATATATATATATATATATGTATAGATGTATATTACATCGTTCTTCCTTTCTGTACAATGCATGCTTTTTCCTTTCAGGTGTAGTCCCGGCAAAATTCCCACCACCAATTCACCTGCGCATCATCACCGTAGTCCCTTGTGTAAGAACACATCCCCTCCCTTGTTTTAATCCCTGTCCCTCCTCCTCCCCTGCAGTCTCTGATTAATAATTGCCTGTTGATTTTGTTTTTTAATTTATTAAAATTATTTTTTCCTGGTCCTTTATTTGGTTCCCCCACATTCCTCCTATAAATGAAACCATCCAATATTTTTCTTTTTTCCTTCTGGCTCATTTCACTGAGCATAATCCCTTCCAGCTCTATCCATATTGCTGCGAATGGCTTGAGTTTATCTTTTTTGATTGCAGAATAGTATTCCATTCTGTAAAAACAGACACACAGATCAATGGAAGTGAATAGAAAACCCAGAAATAAACTCATATATTTATGGACAACTAATCTTTGACAAGGGTGCAAAGAATATGCAATGGAACAAGGATACAATACTTTAATCTAGTGTCCATTTCCACTCTATTGTTGACTCAGCAAGTCAATAATGTCTTTACAGACTTTCTCCTGCATAAGATTCCAGTAAGGATCTCATATTTAGTTGTAATATATCTTTAACCACCCTTAATTTGGAACATTTTCACAGCCCTTCTCTGTCTTTAAGACATTAACATTTTAAAAGAAAAGAGTGTTCCTCATTGTGGATCTGTTTGGTGTCAGTTACTTCAAGATTGGATTCAGGTTGTACATTCTTGATATCACCTCTGGAGGCACACAGCGTCCATCTGTCCCTCATTGCGATGCTACCTTGAATCATCTGATATTACCAATTTCTCAATTGTGTAGTTAGTATTATTTCCCACGGGAGTCCACAAGAAACTTTCACATATCCAGTTCATCAAAATTTCTCCCTAGATTTAGCATTGATTGACTTTTCCTTAAAGCAATGTTTATAATCATAACTATAAAATGATGATTTTCTTTCTATTCTTTTTAAAAAGATTTATTTTTATTTATACAAGAACTGGGGTACAGGTCAGAGGTGTGGGAAGTGAGAGGATTCACCAGAGATAGAGTGGGGAACAGAACGGGCAGACTGACTGAAGTACACTGCTGAGGGGAGCAGCGGGCGACTCAGGAGAGGTCTGCTGTGCCCTGTGGGCAGATCCCTGGCTGGGGATTGAACTCATGCTGCAGTGGACAGCTTCATAGCACTGCGTTCAACCCCTTGCACCACAAGAGAGGCCCCTAAAATGATGACTTTCTAACTCCAGTCTGTGTCCACATTTTTCAATTGATACTCAGCACTTTACTGTAAACAAGAGCTCCCTCCCTCCCATTTATTTGTAATGAGTGTGGGTTACAGATTCTTATTTTTCCCTGCATTGCTGAACTCAATGACTTTAATGCTCAAGTGGCCCCAGATTTGACCAATGAAAGCCCCTTTGAGCAGACTGTCTCTGCCCCTTTTTTTTTTTTTTTGAGCACATCCCTACTTTCTGGCATAATAAAATATTGCAGCCTAATCTTGCACACACCCTGCCCCTGTCCTGGAATCAGCTATTTTACCAAAGAGACCTTGCTCTTTGCAGTGAAGAACAGTATTAGAGACCAATATCTGGGTGGCAGGTGTGCTTTTTACTATGGTGATGTTTTTGTTACTGGCCCCTTTCAGCAGTCAGAGTTAGGAAATGTATGAAAGTACAGTAAATATGCAAATATAAACATTTATACAATGTACCTCTCTACTTTCCAGATGCATGCCCAACTGTGCATGCATTTTCCTATACAGTCAGTTCTCATTCACAAAAGTTATGTTCTCTAAATTTGCCATAAGCAATGAATTAGAGAACATGGATCATAGTTCCTAGGATACTAGGGAAAATGCAGTTAGTTTCCTGTAAGCCTCTGTCACAATATTTTCAATTCATCAACATATAACCTTGTTTCATGTGTTTATTTAAAAACATCTTATTTAACATGTATTATTGATTCATCGACATTGAATTCATGACCAATCACACCCTATTTCATGTCTGAACTATTCAAACACATGTTCTCTCCAGGAGGCACATCATATCCTTCTTGTGCCAAAGAATACCGAACCGCATACGCTTTAGGACTACAATTGTGGGCCATTTTTATTTTTTTTAAAAAGATTTATTTATTTATTTATACATGCACTGGGTACAGTCAGAAGCGCGGGAGGGTGAGAGAATTCACCAGAGCCAGAGCGGGGAGCAGAGCAGGCAGACTGATGAAGTACACGGCTGAGGGGAGCAGCGGGCAGCAGGAGAGGTCTGCGTGCCATGTGGGACCCTCACCTGTGGCCGGGGAGCAGCCGGGAATCGAACCGGCGCCGTGGAGTCTTCGGGCAGCTTCGCATCCCAGCGCTCAACCGCTGCGCCACCAGGGAGGCTCTGGGGGCCATTTTGAACTGCAAAATCAGCTTTCACCGAGAGTGCAAACATGGGGTGGAGGATGACACTACAGAAACTGTGGAAAGGGCACATGTTTACAGAGTGAGAGCGAGAAATCAGTGTCACGTTTACCAGTCTCATCTGGAGCCGTGCAAGTCAGGTGCTCACTTTTTTTGCTGCTCGGTGCATGTCAGAGCAAACTGACACAAGTGTTGAATTGGGGCTTACAAAAAAAAAAAAATGTAAGCACTTAAGGAACCTACCAAAAGTGAGGATTACCTTCATAACTGGAAATCATGACTTCTCACCAATCCCGCCAGGATTCTTTCTTTTCTCCCATTTCTGTCTATAAATCCTTTCTTCTACAGTGAGAGAGAATCCTGGTCCCCAAAGTAGCAACACATTTACTTTTTGGTCCAATCCTAGAATATCTCTAAAATGAGTGCCAGCGTTGCTTCATCCATATCACTACAAAAACAAAGCTACTGAAAAGAGCTCAGCTTATCCGTAGTCTTCCTACGTTACCAAACTGTGTTTAGTTTTTTCTGTTCCTCTCCAGTGTAGTTAAGGAATTTGTCGGTTACATACTGAATTCATTTTTTTCAGGTTGCTTAGTTTTACAGACTTCTCCTTCTGTTACAGGAACCCAGCCATCTCAGTGGCGGGAGCCGCAGGAGCAGGGGTGTTTTCGATCTGCTGCTCCCCCACAAATTGGTTGTGCAGGTGCTCCTCAGGGCTCAGTAACTGCCTTTTTGTCAGTTGTGGCAGTTGCTCTTTGGAGACCTTTTCTGTAACAGCGCACTTCCTGGATTGTGGCATGGAGCAATCAGGTGCCATGGGCTCCTTGGTAAATGGTCCAATCAGACTTGTGAGTGGGGCACCCTGAAAGAGCATATAAGCCGGGGGTGGCGGGAGCTCAGAGGGAGACCATGCGACTCCAGCCACTAGAGAAGAAGAGAGAGGCAACAATGCCAGCACACAGAGGGAAGATGATGCCAGCCCCTGGAGGAGGAGAGACAATGCCAGTCCCTGACAAAAAGAAGACGGTTCCAGCCTCTGAAGAAAGAAGAAAAGAAGCATCAGGCAACCGCAGCTCTGAGGAGAGAAGAGTAGCCGAAGGACTCTGTCACGGACTGGGCCTCGGTCCTGTCTCTGGTATTGCTTGAAAGGAGCACTAAAGGCCCTGGGCCTGGTGCCTCAAAGAGCTGTTTGTTTTTGGTATAACCCAACACCTCACAAAGAGCTGTTAACACTGCATGTCTCTGACACCACCTCTGCGGGACCAATAGTGGCCATCACTACTGTCTGGTGCTGTTCAGCACTCCTGGTGACCGGTGGTGACCATCACTGACATTACCTGGGTGAGACAGCAGCCACTTGTGGATACAGTAAGCTCTTTGTTTCCTGTTTGTAAAATAAACCCCATGGTTGTTGTTCCTGGAGTCTAAGTTCTCTTGCAATTGTGGGCGCTGGTGAGAAACCACAGAGTGACCTGTCCTCTTATCGGGCACTGTCCGTTGTTAGTCTATAGCTCTTGGTTTTGGTTTTTGGCCTTTTGGGGCTTTTTGGTGGTCTCTCTGGTCTCAGAGCCTGGGAAGGTGGGTGGCCTTTCCATCCTTCCATTCAGCCTCCTGCCCTGTGGCCTCTTTTGTGACCCTGTCCACCCCTGTTTCAGCTGGCAACCAGGATGGGACAGGACACCCATGGTTGATCAGCCCAAGGATCCTCTCCTTGCATTGATCACCTTAAAGTGCAAAAGCAATTGCAAGACACTGACAGAATTTGATTTGGAAACTATAATTGAATAAGTCATGCATTCACCTGTTAGTTTGGGAGGTTCTGTTTCTCCTCCACCCCCTTCTCCTGCTGCTTCTGCCATAGGTTCTGGATTCATGAGAATTATAAGGTCTGGTGTCAACAAGATAATATTTATACTACTGGAGTTCATATGAACATATAGTTGGAGCCCAGTTATGGCATGAATTTTGGATTTTTGCTTCTGGAGTTCATCTTAGGTATGATGTTACAAATGCTATTTGGTGCAAAGGAAGGTGATATTGTAAAAATGCAAGAGCAAAGAGAAACTGCAAGAGCAGATGCAGGTTGCTCTCCAGAAATTGGATTTGGGGAAGGTAGAAGCCCATTTGCTGGCCAGAAGAAAGGGGACCTACCTTTCCCTGATAGTGGTAATAGGAAGGCACAGGAAGAGGAGGACCACCACTTAATGGAAATTTTGAATCCACCAGTGGAGAATCCCTCCCATGTGACCAGTGCACCTCCTGAGGAGGCTGTGTAGGTTCCACAAGCCTCACCACTCCCCAGCAATAAGTCCTCTCCTTCTCATACTAGACGAGGCACTCAGTTTGGTCAAGGGAATTGCTCTGGGGCAGGACAGTTTCCTTTTTGTCAATTCCCAATGGGGGGATTGAAGGAACAGGGTCAGCCTTCTGGATATGATTGGTTTTATAATGCTTTTTCCCCAGGGGATCTCTTCAATTGGAAAAGCTCTGTCCCTTTTCATCGGCAAGACCCCCCCAAAGATCGTAGATTTGTTTGCCTCGATTTTTGCCTCCCATGGGCCAAGTTGGGCAGACATACAATCTATGTTAACTACATTGCTTACATGTGACCAGTGAAGGATGGTTTTGGGAGAAGCTGGGGAAGAAGCTGGTCATCTCCACTTGGAAGATATAGGTAAACCAGCATTGCAGGAGGCTGCTCCTTTGGTAGATCCTCACTGGCATTCCAGTAATGGAGACATGGAAATGTTTGAGCACTACCAAAAGTGACTGTTAGGGGATTAAGCATTGCACTATGAAGCAATTTGCAGCCTCTGAAGCACCAGTTTGATTCCTGGCCGGCCAGGGAGCTACCCACTTGGCGCAGCAGACCTCTCCTGACTCACCCGCTCTCCCCTCAGCAGTGTATTTCAGTCAGTCTGCCTGTTCTGTTCCCACTCTGTCTCTGGTAGATCCTCTTGCCCCCGCATCACTGACCTGTACCCCAGTTCTTGTATGCATAAATAAACCTTTTTTTTTTTTTTTTAAAGCCTTCCTGCAACGTTAGAATGTCAATTTGGAGACATTCAAAATGGAGGAATGTCCTATTCTGCTCCTTGGTGTTGATCTCCTTAGTATATTGAAGGCCCAAATTGTCTTTTCACCTCAGGATCAGAGGGTACACTTACCAGTATCCCCAGAACATGCCTTGCAGTATAAAATGATACTTTCCACTTCCTCCTGATATTTGTAACAAGGTAAATGAAGTAGTATGGGCTGACGGAATGCCTGGCATGCCAGAAATGTAAACCCTATAAGAATTGAATTGGTGAAAGGGAGCAAGACCCCAAGGAAAAAGCAGTATCCTCTGAAAGAAGAGGCTTTGAGAGGAATCCAGCCAGTGTTAATGAGATTTCTACAAAATGGTCTCATTTGGCCCTGTCTCTCTCTCTATAATACTCGTGTATTTCCAGTAAAGAAACCCCATGCAGATGAATATTGTTTTGTACAGGGTTTGAAGGCAATTAATGATATTGTTGAAGACATTCATCCAACAGTGCCAAATCCTTATACTTTGTTGACTGGTATACCTGGAGATTATGGTTGGTTCTCTGTATTGGACTTGAAGATGCATTTTTCTGCATCCCAGTAGATGCTCAGGAGCAGAAGCTTTTTGCTTTTGAGTGGAAGGACCACTCAAAAAAGGACCAATTATAGGTATCTATTGCTTCACAATATTGTTGGGCTGTGCTTTCACAAGGATTTAAGAATTCTCCAACAATTTTGGGGGAAATATTGGCCAAGGATCTTCAAAAGATCCATTTGAAACAGCATCCTCCTGCAATATGTGGATGACCTATTGATTGCTAGTCCTGATGATAACTTTTGTTTGGAAAATACTGTGTTAGTTTTGAACTATCTAGCAGAATGTGGTTACAAGGTGTCACCATAGAAGGCCCAGCTATGTAAGAAAAAGTGACAAACCTGGGGTTTGAGATTGAAAGAGGCAAACGAAGCCTCATGACTGAGAGGAAACAGGTAGTTTCCACACTCAAGTTTCCTAGCAGTAAAGACAGTTATGTGGATTTTTGGGAATGGCTGGTTTTTGCAGAATTTGGATCCCCGACTTTGGACTTAGAGCAAACCTCTTTTTGAAGCTCTCAAAGACCCAGACTCTGAACATTTGTATCTGATTCCTGAATGCCAACAGACCTTTGAGAAAACAAAGAGTAAATTGACTGAAGCACTAGCCTTAGGATTGCCAGACTTCAGGAAGCCTTTTAGACCCTATGTCCATGAAAGACAAAGAGTTGGATTGGGAGTGTTGATCCAATTATTGGGGGACCAGAAATGCAGCCCATTGCATATCTGTCCAAACAGAAGGATCAGACAACGAAGGGCTGGCATTCATGTTTGCGGACTGTGGCTGCGACTTGTGACTTTGTGTATAAAGCAGAAAAGTTTACTTTGGGTCAGCCCATTACTGTGTATGCACCACATCAGATTCTGACATTGTTAGAACAAAATGGTGGACTTTGGCTGACTGCTTGGGCACATGGGAAAATATCAAGCTGCCTACTAGATAATCCCAATGTGCAGTGATGAGTGACCAGTTCTTTAAATCCAGATACTTTGCTTCCAGTTAATATTAATACAGGAAACTTTGAAGATGGGATTCTAGCCCATAATTGTCTGGAGATTATTGAAACAGTGTATGCTAGTAGACTGGATTTATCTGACCAGCCTCTGCCAGATCCAGATTGGGAGCTGTTTATAGACGAGAGCAGCTTAAAAACACTATAGAAGCCAAGGCCCTTCCGGCAGGGACATATTGATAGCTTTGACTCAAGCCCTAGAACTCTCTAAAGATGAAAGGGCAAATATCTTTACTGACCCTAAATATTCCTTCATGAGTGTCCACACGCATGGTGCCATTTGGAAAGAGAGGGGATTCCTTACAGCCAAAAATAGGGATGTTAAGCGCCCACTAGAAATTCTGGCATTATTATAAGCAGTAACCCTCCCATCAGCTGTGGCAGAAATGCAGTGCCTGGCCACCAAAGGACAGGTCTGAAATTGCAGAGGGCAGCAGCACAGCTGATCATGAGGCTAAGGCCACTGCTCGTTCTGCTCTACAAGGTTCATTAATCCCTCTCCTAGACTTGTCTAGATATGTTCCCATATACAGTGGCCAAGATGTGGAAAGGGCCCCAAAATGGAGATTTAATGACTTTGACTCCAGTTCAATTTGGAGAAAGAACTCTCACGGCATGATTCTCCTCCCAGAGGCCCTAGTCTATCCGTTATTGAAACAGCTACATGAAGGACCCCACTGTGGGAGAGATGCATTGTTAGAATTGATACGCTCATATATAAAGGAACCCAATTTGCACGTGGTAGCTTGACAAATCACAAAATGTTGCCATATTTATGCCAAGAATAACCCTAAGATTGATTCACCCCTAAACGTTACTGGGGTTCAATACCGCGGCAAGTTCCTTTTTGAGGATTGGCAAGTGTACTTTACACAAATGCCTAGGATTACTGGAAATTATAGGTATCTATTAGTTTTTGTAGACACCTCCTCAGGATGAGTAGATGCATTCCCCAGGATTACCACTCTAGAAACAGATATAAATTAAGAGAAATTCAAAACAAAATGGACACAACACATTCTCACTTTTATGATGGATTAATTTGGAAGCAATTTATCACATGTGGGAAGAGTGCAAGTGGAGCACTGGTGCTGTAATTGAGAATCTTGAAGTGATAACATTTATCTGTATGTCCTACACCAAAGATGACTTATCTCTTCACCACCCTGCAGAGGACTGAGTTCCCAGGCCTCAGTCCTGGGAAACATGCAGATTATTGAGGAATTGATATAAAAATGTTTACTTTCCAAAATACAAGTAGCTGTATCAGCCACTATGGGGTTGGTTACTAATAGTGGAACTCTCTGGGAGTTCTCTGATAGTAGCCACCATTTTATCTTCTCTAGCAAATTTCCAGGTAAATGATTTTTTTACATTTTATATTTAATTAATTAATTAATTTTACATCATTGATCATTTTTGTATGGTGTTTGATTTCTCCCCTCAGGTGTAATCCCCACCACCAAATTCCCACCACCAAATCACCTGTGAACTGTCACCATAGTCTCTTGTGCTCATCTCTCTCCCTTTTTGATCCCTCTCCCTCCTCTTCCCCACATGAATGTCACCAACTTACAGTTTGCCTGCCAATTTTGTCTTTTTTTTCCTGATCCCTTGTTTGGTTTCCCTATGTTCCACCTATAAGTGAATCCAACTGATACTTTTCTCTTTCCTTCTGACTTATTTCACTAAGCGTAATCCCTTCCAGCTCCATCCATGTTGCTGCAAATGGCA